ATTTGGGTAGGGTCCAACGTGTGATTCAATACAAAAGCCAGCATAGTGATCTTGTTGCTGTGTACTAATCTTGTTGTGTATCAAATAATAACAACAACAACAACAACAACAACAACAACAACATCCTTTATGGAGTCCAGATGTCAGACGGGCCAAGATCTTATCTACTTCTTGGCCTCTTGTTACTCTTGAGAAACATTCTGATATAGTTGGCGGTGTCCAACGTCATTCTTTTGCCAAAACTGTTGTCACTAGTTGGCCTTTTTTGTACTGGGTGCAGCTGAGCACTTTTTTTGTTTCTTGAGCTAACAGATTAGCTCCCAGATTATTGCTGACAGAGCAAACAGGCCTATCTGATCTCAACATCAAGGGAATGTGTGTCCTCTTAAACTGCGTTATTGGCATTTCTTTCATTCCCTCTTCAAGGGGATATCTTACTTCTTAGCACCTTAGATCATGGAATTCAGCATTCCCTAAGTGTTATCATCACCCATGGAGCCCCCGGTTGTGCAGTGGGTTAAACCCCTGTGCCGGCAGGCCTGAAGACCGACAGGTCGCAGGCTCGAATCTGGGGAGAGCTTGGATGAACTCCCTCTAACAGCTCCAGCTCATGTGGGGAAATGAGAGAAGCCTACCACAAGGATGGTAAAAACATAAAAAAAACATCCGAGCGTCACCTGGGCAATGTCCTTGCAGATGGCCAGTTCTCTTACACCAGAAGTGACTTGCAGTTTCTCAAGTTGCTTCTGACACAACAACAAAAAAATCATCACTCATCTTGCATCATCCCTGAGAGCTGGAATGTTATCGCTCCTGTTTTACAGATTGCCAATAACACAACCACAAAGCACACAACACTAGTTCCTCACTCCTGCAAGATAATGCCTACAACAAAAAACACCATAACTGATTTTGGGGAAGTTAAAGAGGAAATGAGCAGATTTCTTGGAAGATAATTATAGAGAGAATGGCACAGCTCTTGACCCCTCCTGTCTAGTCATGGCTAAGAAATGTACTAGGTGAGGTCTTTCTAAGAACCCGTTGTTTGGAAAAGTGCATAAGAAATAAGACAATTCCTTAGGTGAGCCATGCCCAGCTCATTTAAGATTTCCAAGTAAGACTAATACTTTGAACTCTCAGAAATGAAGTGGGAAAGAATTTGGTTGCTGCAACCTGAATGGTGAAGTTTGCTACCAGTAATAGCCTATCTGTGGGGAGGCTCCTTGGGAGTATTGTACCATGAGGTTAGAGTGATCTCAGGCTCCTTCTACACTGGCCTATATCCCAGGATCTGATCCCAGATTATCTGCTTTAAACTGGATGACATGAGTCTCCACTGCCAGATAATCTGGGATAAGAAAATAATCTGGGATCATATCCTGGGATAAAAGGGGCAAAGTGGAGGGGGCCTCAGAGTCCTCTAAGGATTTTTGTAGCATCATATTTCAATTGACTTCAGCTTTTCTTGAATGTGGAAGAAACTGTAATCTATCAAAATCTAACATGAAAGTCAATTGTGTTTTTGGACAAAGCAGCTGAAAAGGCAGTTAAGTCTTAGATGTATAAATTGTTATGATAACCATAGTGGTCACTGTGTTGTCGCAAATAGGGGGGAAATAACAGATATTCATTTCTCTTCTTGGACAAAGGAATGCCATTCATAGAATCTCTTCCTGAGCTGCGCTTTAGCACAACAAGTTAATCACCCGCTGCAGTAAATCTTGCCAACTGAAAGGTTGACAGTTTGAAGCCCGGATTAGGGTGAGCTCTTGACATTCAGTCCAGCTCCCTGCCCACCTAGCAGATCAAAAATGGAAATGTGATTAGATAAATAGGTACTGCATGAAAGCGGGGAGGTATTTAGGCATTGCGATTCTGTCAAAAAAGGAGGAAGCTTATGAACAAAAAATCTCTTTGACAGGGAAGATGGAACGACAGCACTCCCGGTGGCCGGACCTGAACACAGCCTCCAAGATGCTGAAAGATGGGAAAGCCTATACCTCTATGTTGTCTGTCTTGTCACTGTATAATCGGTATTGAATGTTTGCCATATATGTGTTCTGTGATCTGCTCTGTGTCCCCTTCGGGATGGGAAGGACAGAATATAAATACTGTAAATAAATAAATAACTATTAAAGTAACAAAATGATGTCATTCAGATTACACAGAATGTCTTCATCAGAAGTTTGCAAGCTTGGTAGTTGATTAAATGTCCTTTGACCAGTAGCTGGCCACTTGGAGTGCCTCTGGTGTTGCTGTGAGAAGGTCCTCCACTGTGCATGTGGCACGGCTCAGGTTGCATTGCAGTAGGTGGTCTGTGGTTTGCTCTTCTCCACACTCGCATGTCGTGGATTCCACTTTGTAGCCCCATTTCTTAAAGTTAGCTCTGCATCTCGTGGAGCGCAGTCTGTTCAGCGCCTTCCAAGTTGTCCAGTTTTCTATGTGCCCAGGGGGGAGTCTCTCATTTGGCATCAGCCATTGATTGCGGTTCTGGGTTTGAGCCTGCCACCTTTGGACTCTCGCTTGCTGAGGTGTTCCAGCGAGTGTCTCTGTCGATCTTAGAAAACTATTTCTTGATTTAATTGATTTACTTGAATGGGTGATGAAGTATATATGAAAACCACCCACTGTGTTTTGTTCACAAGTATCTCCAGGAATCACTCTGAAGAAAACCATGGTGTCACTAGGGGAAGGGTTGATGCCACACGAGCATCATCCTCGTGGCATCATTCTTGCAGCAGGCACTTGTCCCCTAATCAGGAGTTGCTTTTTGAGAAATGCCACAGTGTTGGGCTAGTGCCTGGTTCAGCACCAGGAGTTGAGGGAGGAAAGGAGATTGTGGCTGATGTGGACTTGGCCTGCTGAAAGAAAGGACTAGAAGCATGGGGAAACCCCATCACTTTCTCTGGCCACCTTGAGCAGGTGAAGGTTCACAGAGTCTACCCTGAGTGAGACAGCTATTTTGGTATCCAAACCTAAGGGATACACACACACCCCAAGCCCATAGTGACACCACTAGAAGAAAACTGCCTCACAGCATCTGCAGCAGAAGCTAGCATTACAATTACATGGCTTGAATAGGATCTTAGGCTATCATAAACATATTTACACCCCATGGTTTCAAAAAGCACCTTTTGGGGGTTAATATTTCCAGAATCCTCCACTCAGGACATTTATGATGGGAACTATAGTAACACTATGGAACATAATTTGAAAAAAAAATGTGTTCTTGGTTTGAAGGTATTATGTCCTGTTTAATTGTGCAGTACTTACTTTGAAAGTAGTTGTTATCCTCCGGAAGCTTTGTTTTGTGGGACTGCCACACACTATGTGGAATTGGTTGAGACTCAATGAGATGTTCATTGAAAAACTATAGGAAAGTATGCTGTAGAACAGTGGTTCTCAACTTGGGGTCCCCAAATGTTTTTGGCCTTCAACTTCCAGAAATCCTAACAGCTGGTAAACTGGCTAGGATTTCTGGTAGTTGTAGGCTAGAAACATCTGGGGACCCCAGGCTGAGAACCACAGCTGTAGAACGTCCCGCAAAAACAAAGTTTTTTGCAGTATAATAACCCTTTTCAATGTTTTTATGATAGAACAAATGACATTGATAACTCAGGAACAAAAATTATGTTACATTCGGGTTTTTTTCAAGCTCTGACCACCCCCATTTCTGAAAGTAGTTTTCTAGATTAAGTATTACATTATGACATAAAAAGTTTTTAAAAAGCAATAACTTCACAGCATCATCCTTACTGGAGCAAACTATAGGGAGCATACAACATCCCTATTAAAACAGTTTCATTGGCTGCTGATAAGTTGCCGAGCCAAATTCAAGGTGCAGGTCATGACCTATAAAGCCCCAAACGGTTCGGGTCCCGCCTATCTCCGCGATCACATCTCCTTCTATGAACAGGCACGAGCTCTAAGATCTTCCAGGGAGGTCCTCCTCTCAGTCCCACTACTGTCTCAAGCGCGGTTGGTGGGGACGAGAGAGAAGGCCTTCTCAGTGGTGGCCCCCCGTCTCTGGAACGCCCTTCCAAGGGAAATAAGACAGGCCCCATCCCTCCCCTCCTTTTGTAAGAGCTTGAAGACCTGGTGGTTTCAACAAGCCTTTGAAAATGACCAGTTCTAACTCAGCCCTACACATTGTCGAATGCGGCCTTATTCTTCCTACCAATTACCCAGATTCTTTCCTCTAATCGGCCCCAGAATGAACAGCCACAGACCCGTCCCTAATATTATTGCTGCCTGCCATAGCATTGCACTTAATTCCTGGGCCCCCTAGAATTTTGGGGCTTACACAAATCTTGGCCCGGCCTTTTAAATTTTTTAATTGTCTTGAACAGGCAGGATTACTTTTAATATATGTGTGTTATGGCGACAATTTTTATGCTTATATTTTGTTTTGTTAATCTTATGGTTATGTTGTTTTTCACTTTGTATGTTTTGTGATGTTACCTGGGAACCGCTCTGAGTCCCCTCAGGGAGATGGAGCGGTATATAAACGAAGTATTATTATTATTATTATTATTATTATTATTATTATTATTATCTTTACTCCTGCTACCGCCACCATGATGGGTAAAGCACAAAGCAATCAATTACACCTTGTACTAAAAATGTGAAAGAAATAGTCAATAAGATAAACCTGCATTTGGTATTTTTTTTAAAGACACCCACCTTTAAAAGTCCAAAAATTATTTAGAACCAATCTTTGGGGAAATTCTTAGAGAGACTTGATTTTCTGTTAAGTAAATCTGCCATATTTTGGTAGAGGTAGTAGTGGAGATTCAAAGGTGGGCAAAGGTGCAAGAAAAGCAACTCCTCTGATAAAAGATGCATCTGTAAGCAGCCAAAGTTGGTCACATGCTTCATGCCCCTGCTCTGCTTAGAGCAGAGAAGGAAAGTCAGGAAATGTGTGTTGGGGGAAGATGAAAAAAAGAAGACAGATGAGGAGACAGAGAACTTATGGGGGATGGACAAAGACCAGCACTTACCAGTTCAGGCGGAGGGAGGGGCTGGCAGGACGATGGAACCTGGAATGAAGGGAAGAAAAGGAGAATGACAGTCCAGCTGTATCTCTTTCCTGGGCTTCCAGGCCTCCCGGTCTCTCAGCATCCCACCACAAAATGAACTTTGCAATGACGTCCCCAGTAAGCCCTCCCTCCGCCCCCATAGTGCAAGTGGTGGGGGGGGGGAGGAAAAAAAGGCCTCTTGCTCCGTTCCCTTGGTTGGAGACACACGATTGGCCTCTTTTCCCCATCAGGGTGTTTGCTTTGGCCTGGGGCTAAGCCCTTCCAAGGACGGCAGTGTGCACATAGGCTGCGATTCATCGTGGCCAGGAGGCAGCAGAGCCAGTGGAGAGGTGGGATGGGGGCTAAATATAGAGAAACATAAACAGGCAGCACCCCACCCAAAGGAGAGCACAGTAGGTCCATTCAGACTGGCCGGCTCCACCGCCTCACCTTGCTCAATGGCCTTTGCATCCCTGGGTGACCCATAAGCCAAGAGGGAGGTTCAAAGCGCACATCCCTTCACCATCCACAGCCATTCTGGGGTTCATAAAGGACAGTGTCACTCCGCAGCCAAGCATAGGAATGAGGATATCTCAGCAGGACTTTGGGTTGTTTTTCTCCTGCTGCCTTCCTTGTTAACTCTTACCGCAGTTCTATCTGAACTGGATTCATTTGCTAGCTTTCTCTCTATCCTGTCAATATATCCCACACACCAGGAGAAAAAAACAGCGTGCAGTTCAGAGTGAAATCGCAAACATGTGCAAACAATTCTAGATGGCCATCGTGTTTGTGTAATTGCAAAACTATTTCGGGAGGGGACAGTTTGGACCAAAGACGCATCCAAGAATCGATGTGCTTTTTGCTTTCCTGGCAATCACTTGTCTCACACTTTCCCACTGCAAACACCACATGTACGCACAGCTTCCTGTCCCCATGGATTTCTACACATGTTTGCAACAGGAATACAAAAAAAAAATTAATTGTGAACTTGAAAAATGATGTCACAAATCTAAGTAGAAGAGTTGTTTACTAGGCAACTGTATCCGCTCAGATATCCATTTGCTTCTAATTAGATCACCGAGGCACTAAGCGATATGTGTAAAAGACCACTGGGTGAAAAGAGGAAGATTTCCCCCTATAGTATGCGCAACCAAGTTTTGCATCTTGATGATAGGTCTGCAGTTGCACACTCTCTAACATTTCATAATTGGAAATCAAACCACATGTAGCCAGGGACATCAGAGTGTGGTCAAAATGACAAAAAATATTAATAAAGACAAACATATATGAAGAGAGGCTGCAGCAGTTTGCTTTTGCCTGGGAAGACTGGGAAGAGAAAGAGTCTCCCTTTCTCTCTGCTGGATTTATACATGATAGCCATGTATAAATATGTGAGAGGAAGTCACAGGGAGGAGGGAACAAGCTTGTTTTCTGCTGCCCTGAAGACTAGGATATGGAACAATTAGGATATGGAACAACACTTGGATATGGAACAAGACTAGGATATGGAACAAGACTAGGGTATGGAACAAGACTAGGATATGGAACAAGAAAGGAGATTCCATCTGAACATTAGGAAGAACTTCCTGACTGTGAGAGCCGTTCAGCAGTGAAACTCTCTGCCCCAGAGTGTGGTGGAGGCTCCTTCTTTGGAGGCTTTTAAACAGAGGGTGGATGGCCATCTATCGGGGGTGCTTTGAATGTGATTTTCCTGCTTCTTGGCAGGGGTTGAACTGGATGGCCCACGAGGTCTCTTCCAACTCTAGGATTCTATAATTCATGGAGGGGGAGGGGGGTATTCCTTTGCATTTTGAGCTCAGTTTGCAGAAATGGAAATAAGCAGAGGACAAAGGGAGACAGGATGATAGAGAAATTGGGACATTTTTAAAGTTACCAAAAAAGTAGCATGACAAGAGACTAAGCTAGTCTGTGGGCATACACACTTGTACAATTAAACCTGCCACACTTAATTTGACATGCTGAAAAGAGGAGCTGGGATGCTTGTGATCATATATGTATGATCACAAGCAAGAAAGAACTACATTCCTTTTAAGGTTGCCAGGTCAGAACCATCCCAAGCCCTGAAATTTCAGAGTCCAAATCCTAAACCCCTTGCAATGTCAAGGGAGGAAGGCTCTGATGACAACACAAGGTGGAGTCCCTAATGACATCATTAAGAATATTAAGGGTCAATCATTGTTGTACGAGGATATCCTTCAAATACAGTAAAAGGCATCAAGTCTAACACATGAAAAAACACACAAACAAGAAACACTTTTTCAAGGCAACACTTTTTCTGGTGAAAGGTTTTTCCTGATCATTCTATGGATTGGAACCTGCGATCTGAGAACCTTATTTATCTTCTATGCATGCAGGTGAATATAGCACTAAATGAGACATGTAGAATAATCACAGGATGTCTTAAACCTACACCTGTTGATTCACTCTATAAGCTAGCTAGCATTGACCCCCATCAATGTGCAACAGGAAGTTGCTGCCAAGTGCGAGAGAAATTAGGTTGAACTCTGTGAAAGCCACCCACTGCATGACTATCAGCCTCCTCCCAGTAGAGTCAAATCAAGGAAAAGCTTCATGAGCACCACAACTCCTCTAAATGTTCCCCCAGGAACAGTAAGAATATCCCAGTGGACAGTAAAATCAGGCAATCCCAATTGGATGCCCCCCCCCCATGAGGGACTTCCTCCAGGGGCAAACCAAGAATGGTCAACTTGGAAGTCCCTGAACAGACTCAAAAGTGGAGTGGACAGCCTGTCAAAATGGCACTACCCAGAAGAATCTCCCACCTTGTGTGACTGTGGAGCAGAACAAACAACTCCGCATCTGTATGCTTGTCTACAATGCCCTGCCTCATGCACAGAGGAAGAACTGTTTAAACTACAGACAATGCAGTTGCTGTTGCCTGTTTTTGGTCCTAATTTATTTAGCCACTTGTGTTCCCATTATTTTATCAGTTTTAAACATATTTATTTTTGCAATGTTTTTGACACATAAATACATTCTATGCACACTGAACAAGAAAGCAGAGGTGGAGGAGAGAGAATGAGATTTCCACACAAATGCATCTTTATAACTATCATTAGACACATATAATCTGTACTTTTGTGTTGAAACAAGTAGAAAGGCTTCTTGGCAAAAACAAAACAAAACAAAAAACCCCTGCTCAAATCTATTCTGTCTATCAAAGTAGATCCTGTCTTATTTCCATCAGAGGCTGGATCTACACTGTCCTATAATGCAGTTTCAGAATGCTGATTAACTGCTTGAACTGAATTATATGGCAGAGCAGACTCATACAATCCAGTTCAATACAGTTAATTCTGAAACTGCATTTTATGGCAGTGTAGATCCAGCCTTGTATATACTCTTTCTACAAGTGATCATAGGCTGAAGAATCTGCCAACAGAACATGGGAAACTGTCCATTCCTTATTAAGGGCAGATCCTCCAAGATAAATCCCTACTCAGTACATGACAGTTGTGCAGGTGTTGAGGTTACCTTGTGTATCACACATTAGATACAAGTATCCCATACAGGAAGCCTGTGGGAATAGTTCAGTAATTAAATGTCCTTCGAGCACTATTATTCAAAGCAAGGACACTTTCAAATTGAGGGTTGTCCTCTATGTTCAAATCCGTGGAGCTGCATGAGCTCCCACTGTTAGCCTCAGCTTTTATCAACCTAGCAGTTTGAAAACATGCAAGTGTGACTAGATCAATAGGTACTGCCTTGTTGGGAAGGTAACAGTGCTAGATGCAGTCATGCTGGTCGCATGACCTTGGAGACGTCTACGGACAACGCCGGCTCTTCGGCTCAGAAATGGAGATGAGCACCACCACCCAGAGTCGGACACAACTAGACTTAATGTCAGGGGAAAACCTTTACCTTTTACCTATATGAAATAAGACATTAGGGCCATTCTAATGACTGACAAGGTATGGGGAAATGGGACTTAAATCTGAATTACAGTTGCCACTGTTAATTCCTCATTAACACTTTTGTGCAGGCAAGTTTAACACATTTGCAGGGAATATGTTGGATATGTAGCAACATTCACAAGGACTCAAAAGCCACAGTGATATGTTTATTGGTTCAATTCCAAAGCATAAAACACATCACAATGCTTTGAAAGAAGAAACTAGAAGGCTAGCCTGAAAATTGCCAGGTCACAGAATTTTGCTAAAGCCAACCATCATCACAGTTTGAAATTACACAATGCGTGGGCAAGGATACAATTAAGCAAGTAGACACCATCAAAAGGGGTGTATGTGGGATGTACTTACAATGTTTTGCCAGTATATGGAAAAGTTATTTTCCAAAATCCTAGAAATTGCATATCAAAAAGTACATTTCCCAAACTTTAAAAAAATCCAAGTGATAGGCTGGTAGGTGCTTATTTTGTTGAACTCTAGACAGACAGCTGAAATCTTGATATTATTGTTAGTATCATTACCTGCAAGGCATCTAAAACGGACTGTAACCATATCGGGCATCTCAGCTTGCCAGCACTTGTCTCTCAAAGACTGACTTTTCATACAAAGGAAGGTCCCGCACCTTCCTCCTAGGATACCTTGGCAACAATCCTGTGAGGGATGTTACCATTTATTACTCTCCTCCATGTTGCACACCTCCAACATTTCACAAATGAAGACAGACACACATGTGGCCAAGCATCAGAGCATGATCAAAAAAGGGAAAGCTTTTTTGATCATGCTCTGTTGCTTGGCCACATGTGTGTCCAAGCAACAGAGCATGAGCAGGAAAAAAATGCAAGTTAGGAGAAGCTGCAGCAGTTTGCTTTTGCCTTGAGCCAACTTTGAAGAACTACAGTCCCCGGTTCCTTCTCCTCTCTCCTCTGCTGAGTTAATTTTGAATTGAATTATATGGTCAGTGGAGACTCATAAAATGCAGTGGTGCAATGGGGTCAACCCTTGTGCCAGCAGGACTGCTGACTGAAAGGTTGGAGATTCGAATCCAGGGAGTGGAGCAAGCTCCCCTGTCAG